AAACATGGAACTACAAATAGGTGGCTGCTAACGGCCACTATTGTAAGCACTGAGACAGTAAATTGCAGCGTGGATCGTCCTCCAATGCCATCTGTCCTCGGGGTACTTGAAGGGTCTGGCAGTTGCTGATACAGTTCCCCAGTTACCTCTCAATGCACCTGCTCATGGAGAACTCTGGGGTGATCAAGGCCTCCTCTCTGTGATGACCCTGTTGATGGCAGAGTCTGGAGGCTGGGGACTGGCAAGCTAAAGGGCCCCTTCTCACGTACTGGGCTTGCCTTTTTAGATTGTTTTATTAAAGGAAATTTTTTTGACACTGTGTTGTCATTATGAAATGTCACTTTGAGATTTTTAAAACCGAGGGCTGCAATCTTAATTTGGATTCTTAACTTTCCTGGCAAGAAAAACCACAGAGTTTGGCTTAAATCCTGCTACGTAAGCCAATGGACTGAGCCTTCAAGCAGGCCTGGATTGAGGTCACCGGGTGACCTGGGGCAGGTGACTTAACTCCCGAGTCTTAGTTTCCTCATCTCAAAAATGAGCTAATAGTACCTGCTGCAAGGAGGTCCTATGTTTCCTGGGGGAACCTAAGTGCTTCGGACAATGCCCAGCAGGTAGCAGGTTCTCAGGAAATGCTGGCTTGTTAGGTAGTAGCGTTTACAGCATGTACTAACTGTCCATCGGGTGCTGACAGCCACACAAGCTGACAGATGTTGGCTGCACAGCACCCAGGAGGAGACGCTGACCAATGAGAGCCTTTCCTCTTTAATCAGCTATTTCATCCCATGCGGAGACCTTCAGTGGCTGCTGGGTTTCATTCTTTGAGTGCTTCCAAACTGTCAGGCATCATGCTAAGAACTTTGTATTTACCACACCACTTAATTCTTGCAGTGCCCCTCTGAGTAAGCACTAGGATCACCCCTACTTTACACATGAACAAACTGAGGCTGGGAGCAATCCAGTAACTGGACCAAGATTGCTCAGTTTGGAAGAGACAGTGCTGGCATCTAACTCCAGACCCTTGCTCTTGACCACCTACAGAAAGGGCGACAAAACACTATTTCCCAGTTTTTACATAAATGCACAGGCACTCTGCTAGTGGGCTGTCTTTGCGGGTCGGATCTAATTTAAGAGACATTATTACAATGAGAGTCTTCTCTGTAGTCCAGATCTGCTGGCGTTCTTGAACTTAAAGTGCTTTTTTTAAAAAATCAATTTCAGAGAGAGAAAGAGAGAGGAAGAGATAGAAACATCAAAGATGAGAGAGTCATTGATCGGCTGACTCCTGCACACCCCTGACTTAGGGTCAAGCCCACAACCCAGGCATGTGCCCTGACCAGGAATCAAACCTTGATCTCCTGAGCTCCTGGATCCCAGGTAGGTGCTCAACCACTGAGCCACACCGGCCGGGCCTTAACATGCTTTTTGATGTGCTGGTTTTCTCTTCTGAAATGCAATTTAAAGGAGTGAGGCTGCGTGGGCAAGACGGTCTGATCCCCATGTGTCCCCACCAATCGGCCACAGGGCGGCGCCCCAGCCCAGCCCATGTTATAACTCACCCTGTGCCTTCCTGCCCCAGACCTTCTCCCTCCTCACTTATCCTAGAAAAGCTCACGTTTTGCTTATCTCTTTATTTATATTTGCATGTTACAAAGCTAGTAAGGGGCAGCGGGCTTTGGGGGTTCTGAGTTTGCTTGGTCCCAGCCCAGGTTTCCAGCAAGTCCCTGGTTCACATACAAATGACCAGATGTCAGCTTGAACGCGCGAAGATCTATATTCTGAGGCCCCACTGAAAAGAAATGCTTTCCTGCAGTGGGAAAGCCCCAGGATTTCTAAGAACAGACTTCCATTTATATTCGGGCTACTGGGCCTTTCAGAAGCAGACAGGCGAAGTCCGACTGGTGAGATCCTGCTTCAGTCAAGAATTCTGGGGGCAGTTTGATGTTGGAGTGGACCTGTGGCCCACGGGCTCCAGTCCTGCTCAGGGGCTGAACTTGGGAAAGCCTTCTGACCTCTGCATCTCTTTACCTGCCAGAGGAAGGAGCAATGCTCTGTGCTCACAAGTCCCCTCCCGTCCCAGCAGTCTCCACTTCTGGCTCTCTGTTGTTGGCAACCGCGGGGAGTGATTTTTCTAAGTTATTTTTGGTGGGGATCTGGCAGACATCCTGCTAGTGGTGAATGTGTGCCTCCTGCAGTTGATATCATTCTTTTTGGAGACCTTACATATGTACCTACATAGAATTCTAAGATGCTCGAGCTGGAAGGGGACCACAAGAGCCATTTAGGCAGTAATTCTTTTTTTTTTTTTAATAGATGAAGGAGCTCAGTTTCTGAAAGGTTATATGATGTTTAGTCACCAGCACCATTAGTATCATTGTCGCCTGACATTTTACAAAGTGATTTCTCTGCCATTATCTCCATTTATCCTGTCAGCATTCCTCATTTCACAGGTGAGGAGGCTGAGGCTCAGAGAGGCTGAGCAACTTGTTCAAGGTCACACAGCAAGTTAGAGCTAAGCTGCAAATCCAGGTCTTTAAGTAATTATAGTGTTCTGTGGAATTCCCTAGAAATGCCAAGCACTTCCCAAGCTACCATGGGAAAGACTGAATTGTGCCGTAATACACAGATCTGCTTACTGAGTGACTGAATGAACCAATCATCAAGCTGAGTAATCCCATTCATTCACCCACCAGGTGCCTCCAAGGGATGTGTCCTGGACTAAGTCTGAGAATACAAAGATCAAGACAGAAATGGTCCCTGTCCTGGGAACTAGACTGGACGGTACTTAACTCACAGCCTTATAAATTGTATTCACCAGTTTGTGTCTAATTCAATTTGTCCCCGACTTAGATGAAACACACATCATTCCTACCTTCTGGCACTTAACTTCTGGAAAAGATGATACAGGTGTGCATTGGTGTTCATGTGGTTACCAGCCACTCTCGGTCTCTCAGTGCCCAGGGCATCTCCTGGAGGACAGTTGGTCAGATGACAGGCATACTAGCCCCTGAGGCTCACCTCTCAGTCATAAGCGATGCATTTTGCTGGCGTTTGGTCTCTGGCTGTCCAACGCTACAACTCCTTTCCTACTGCAGATACAAGGCACCAGGCAGAAGTGGCGCAAAGACTCTCACTGCCTGTGTTTCATGGTTATGTTTTGTACTTTGAAGGGTAAAGTGGAAAGGCACACATTTTAGCATCAGAACTGGGTTTGAATCCTAGGTCCAATTGCTACACCTCATGAATTACAGGCAACCTGTCTAACTTCTCATCAGCAATTAATATACAACACAAAACTACAAAGGCTGATCTGCTCGAGTATCCTCTCTCCTCGAGGAATAACAATCACCCCTCTTGTTATTTCTAGCCACAGAAAATCTCCATCAAAGTCTTGCAATTCGCACCCCTCTGAGAGGTTTTTCTCTTTCATGCTCACAGTGCTCTTGGCCACCAGTAGAGTCAGACTTTATGATTTTAAATGTTTTTATATACTTGGTAGGGAAAGAGATATTTCTGCATGTTTTTAAAAATGAAGATGTAGTTCATGTGTATGTGTGTTAAGGAGAACAGAAGATCACTTCATGAAACCATAGAACTTTATGAATGGATGAGACCCTAAGGACCTAGACCAACACCCTCATTTCAAGTCAAGAAAGACGGTGGGAAGCTTTATGACTTGATCAGGAACAGAATCATGAGCTGAACCTGTTGTCTAGTTTATAGTTCAGTGTTTCCTGCTACGAGTACTTTTTATGGTAAAGACCAATCAGAAAACACCACTAGTCAGTAGTATTTGACATGTGGAGGAGCTGATGCGAGCAAGGGCCCCTGGAATTCACTCCATCGCTCTGCCATGTCTTCCAGACTTGTCCCAGCCACCCCAGTAGCACAAGCTCACTTCAATTAAAAGTGGGTTGTCCAGCTCTGGCCAGCGTTACTCAGTGGTTAGAGCATCAGCCTACAGACCAAAAGGTTGTGGGTTCAATTTCCAGACAAGGGCGGGTACCTGGGTTGCAGTTTCGTTCCCTGGCCCCGTCAGGGTACATGCGGAAGACAACCAATCAATGTCTCTCTCACATCGATGTTTCTCTCCCCCCCTTTTTTTCTTCCCCCTCCCCCAACTCTCTCTAAAAAAAAAAAAAATCAATGGAAAATATCCTCAGGTGAAGATTAACAATACAAAAAAGCGGGATGTCCAACAGTTACCATTACATCTGTAGCAGTTGTTCATGGAAATCTATTAGCAAAGTGCAGTTAGAGGCAGGCTAAGCCATGTACACCAGAGCCACGCAGGAGGTCATTAAAATGCAGAGTCTTTGCCGTAACCCTGAACCTCTGGATGGCACCCACAATCCTGCGGTTGGTTCCCCCATGAAGTATCCTCCTGTCCGAGCCCATGTATATTAAGCTAACAGCTCTTGGGGAGGTTGGGCTGGGTATTTAGAGTGACTTAGAAAGGAGTATTCCTATAAAACCTGGTCATATAGTGGAACTAGATTAAGCTAGGGCTGCGTAAAGACCAGAACTGGTGGAAAAGGTAGCATGTTGTAGCTCAGAATTTCTTTGTTTTTAAATCTTGCTCTTTACATAATTAGTTTATGAAATTATTTGGTGATAGGATTTAAGCCCTTTTTTTTTCATTCAAAAGACATTTTTTTAAAAAATTAAGGAAGTCTGGAAATCTTATAAGACGGCATGCATCTCAGATACGGTTTTTAGTACAGTATTTGCCTTATTGGTGCAGGCAGGGTTGAGGCTCCTACCGCCACCTGGCGGTAGCACTGGAATCTGCATTCACTCAGGCATTTACTGTGAGCAGGGTGTAGGCCTGCCTGGGGCCAGGTGACTGGGACGCGGGGCCCACCTTCCAGTTTGTCATTTCAGCATGACATCAGTCGAGAGTGGACTCATGTGACTTCACTTTAGACAGTGTCACAGCAATACCACAGTCCAACAAATAGACAAACTAACAGGCAAGTTCCACTGGTTTCATTTTTCAGGAATTAGTGGTGGCCCCTTGGAAAACCACTACCGACTGAAGCAGTTCCACTTCCACTGGGGAGCAGTGAACGAGTGGGGCTCAGAGCACACGGTGGACGACCACGTGTACCCAGCAGAGGTTTGTGGATATCATCCTAGCAGGGAATATGTGGGTGCTTTCTACATGCCAGGCTCGGTTGTGGGGTGACCAACCATCCCAGTGGCCCAGAAAGGGGGGTGTGTCCTGGGATGTGGGACTCTGTGCTCAAACCAGAACAATTGGCCACCCTACCCATTCAATCACACAACTATCCTAAAGGGAGGGTATTATTAGTACTTTTATTTAACAGAAGAAGGGACTGAAGTTCTAAGTGGTTTAAGTAACTTGCCGAAACCAGACAGCTGGGATTCAAGAGGTTTAACAGCCTCTCACTCAGCCCCCCGGGGTTGCTGGTAGTTGATTTTGGACTCATACCTTCCTGTCCTTCAAGGCGTTTGAGGCCTCCTATGGAGAATCTGAAAATCTTTATAATACAGATCATCCTAAAACAAGTGATATTTGTAACATTCAAAAACGGGAGTCAGAGAAAAAATAAGCAGAGAGAAATGTTAGGAATTGGTTTTTGTAGTTATGGTGGGGTGATACATGGTGCCTTATAAATTTCCCCCAATATTTTATTATGAAAATTTTCCAACATACCCCCAAATGGAAAGAACTGTACAGTGAGAACCCATGCGTCTGCCACCCAGATCCTATGATTAACATTTTGCCAATATTCGCTTTATCACACTTCTGTCCACCCACCCGTCCCTTTATCCACCCACCAACCACCTGACTTTCGGACACATTTCAAGTTACAAACTGTTTTTGTTTCAACTATTTATTGCCATTGTTTTGGGACTGATACTGTAGTTCAAATCAAACTAGAGTCCGGCCAAACCAAAAAATAAAAATCACCTGTAATCACACACCCAGAGGTGACCTCTGGGGACAGCTTATAAATAGGAAGTTACATCTATTGTTCTAATGATACACATGGACCCAGCACCCCAGCAGAGGACCCCAGGGCCCTGGAATCCAGCAGCTGCGTGGACGGGGCTTGCAGACTCGGGGTTTGGGTCACCATTCAGAAAGACCTCCACACAACACATCCCCATAAAGAAATACGTATGGATGCCCAGGGCCCTTCCAGGTTCTGAGCCAGACCCGGCATCAGCAGCACCACACGCTCTCATCACAGAGAACCCCGAGCCAGGCCCCGGTGTCCCAGCTCTGCCTCCTGCTCGCCAGTGACCCAGGAAGCCTGTTCCCCAAGCCAGTCCCCTGCCCCTGATTTAAATCCCTATCATCTGGCCGGTTCTGATGCCAAATTTAGATTTGGGAAGACAGAAGGAGGGGTGTGAAGTAAGGACACAGCGGAAGTTCAAAGGAGGGTGACAAATGTAGGGGGGAAAATGCAGCATTTGGGGCATTAAAAATTATTTGTTGTTTATCTGAAATTCAAATTTAACTGGGAGTTCTATGTTTAATCTGGCAAATCACATTCAAGGATATCTGAAAAATACGAAAAATAGCAAATAATCCAACTCCCCGTTTCTATTTTATAAAGTTACAACAAGACTCTTCCTCTCCCACCAAAAACGCTGAGGCCCTTGCTCTCTGTGACTTTATCAACCCTTTGGGGGCTCCAAGCATGCTGGTGGAGCCCGCATTCCTTAAGCCAGGCTGCTCCTACTGAATTCGTTAAAACCACTAAATGGACACATAGGTCTGCCGTGCAGCAGGGGGAGCGACTGGTTTATTTCTTGCTGCAACATGATGGGTATAAATTCTCTTTCTCCTGTGTTTCAGCTGCACTTAGTTCACTGGAATTCTGTGAAATACAAAAACTACAAAGAAGCTGTGATGGGAGAGAATGGCCTGGCTGTGATAGGCGTATTTTTAAAGGTAACCCCTTGCTAGGGTGTAGCTCTCCTAGTGAAGAAAGCGCGCTCCGTGACCAAGAACTGCTTCTTGAACACAGTCTACGTAGCGTGAGGTGTGCTTGTCGCCCCGTCCTCTGCCTTTTCGACTGAACATTTTGTGTGTCTGTGCCGTGCAGCTGGGGGCCCTCCATGAGGCACTGCAGAAGTTGGTGGAAGTCTTGCCAGAAATAAAATATAAGGTAAGCTACGCATATGAAAATCAGCATCATTGGAAAAGCAAGATTGTTTGGAGTATTGACTCCTTGGCAAGGAGAAAAGCCAGCTGCTGGAAAGAGCGCTGCAGAGAGGGCCTGAGTCCCATTCTGGAAATGGAACTCACTGGGGCTGACTCCATTTGTGTCACCAGCTGGCTCACTCTCTGACATTGTGTCACTGCTGTTCCTGGGGCCCCTCTTGTCTCAGCATAAAGGGGATGCTGGTTTAGATTTGGAGTTCGGTCATTCGGGCAGCAACTCGAAGATTTTCGACATGTCCCCCGCACTGGTCCTGTCCCAAGCAATGACATTTATGAGTGATAACATTTGTTTTAAAACTGATTGAAATAAACACCTATTACCTTTAAGAGTGCCTACCCAAGTGCCACCTGGCACACTCCCGGGGGAACTTAGGATCACCCCCTCCCCGAGAGCACGGGGACCACGGGAAGAGGGAAAGTCCCGCAAACCCACCACTCTTGCGTGGCAGAGCGCATCTTGGCCCAGCTCCCCTTGGACGCGTTGTTGCACAAAGCACAACTCAGAAAGATGACAAGGACAACACTGTAGCTTTTCCCTAACATCAGCTAAGAAAGCACTTTGATGGAGAAGTGGAAATTCCAAAGAAATGCAGTTTATTTGTTTGGTACCAGACAAAAGCATTCTGAGACGGAAGGAGTCACCGTGGTCCTTGAACGTGTGGACGGATGGGGCTCCCACCTGTCTTAACAATGGTGAGCTCGGATCCACAGGAAAGCTGGGGGTCAGCCCTTCCTTGGTTGGTTCACAGGGGTCCTTTGATCTGTGTGGTACATTCTCTTTGATGTCGACCTAAGGGTGGACCTCGTGGGACCGAGACCACATCACCCTCCCCACCCCCACTGCCGTGGCTGCCTGCTCAGGAACTGCACAAGGCCAAGGTGCTTGGAGCTCCCTCTTCCTCGCTGGCCTTCGGCCAGAGTAAACCTGGGCTGTTTTCCCCACCAGCACCCACCTCCTCCGTGGGGTGGTCTCCATCTCCTGATGGGAAAGAAAGGAGCCGGCTGTGTGCTACTCAGGGGAGTGTTTTCCTTCTAGGGAAGGCCCTGGAGCATCCCCCCCCCCATGGGCTAACTCAGGGTCTCCTGGGCCAACCACATGGGAGGAATGGTGTCAGTGGGGCAACGAAGACGCTGCCTGGGCTCAGCTCTGGTCCTGAGGATCATCTCTGGGCCTCAGTTTCCTCCCCTGAAAAGTAAGACTTAGAACCTTAAGAGGTCAAAAAAAGGCCCAGGCTTGGCGAGCAGGAGCCCATGCTCCATGGCTGGGAAGTGTAATCTACTAGAGTGATTTATCGCCGTTAGCACTCCACCCTGGGCTCTAGGTCGATTTGTAAAATTTGGCAGCATTATGAGTCACCTCTGTGTTGTGCATTCTGTCGGTTTTAACACATTCATAGAGTCACGGGTCCCCCACCCAGGGCCACACAGAGCAGTGCCCGACCCCGCACGTGCCATCCTTCAGCCCTCGCAGAGTCAAACCCCCTTCCCCGCAAGCCTTGGGGACTTCTGATTTGTTCCAAACCCCATGGTTTGGCCTTTTCTCCCATTTTTATTCTGCCGTGTTGTACCGAATGGAGCTTTCTTTGTAAGCTACCTTCTCTCCTTCCAAAGTGGGATGTGCATTTTAGAAGAGAGAACAGGGAAGACTTACGGAGTGGGCACCGGTCCCCTAGGAGCTGGCCTGTCTGTGTCGGGGATGGACGGTGGACCAAGCTGCGCCGTGCGTTCCCAGCCGACACTCTAGCCAGCAGGGGGAACAGTTTTCTGTATCACAGGCTGCTCTGAACCCTAATGTGCTTTAGGGACAGGACACAGGGCTCCTGGGGACGTTACTAGAAATAGGTAGATGTCCTCTCAAAATTGTAATTGGCAAGAAACTGGCAGAGGGCAGAGCGGTGGTGCACCAGCTGCTCCTCTGTGTGACCCTCTGCCTTTGCTCCTACCTACAGCCCTTGAGGCGGGAGGAACCAGCCGGCTTTGAGGCAGACAGACCTCCCGTAGCATCTGTATTCGGCCACTGTCTAATTGTGTGGCCTGGGGAGAGTCACTTATATCTATCTTACTTTCCTCATCAATAACATAAACCTAACCCTGCAGGGGTGGGGAACGTCCAGCCCGTGGGCCTTTTGGTCTGGCCCTGCCGAAGCAACCGCAGGCGGGACTCAAAATTCAATAAATCTAGGAGCTTTTTTCATAGCTCATTTTTAAGTTGATAATTTTGTATGGCCCTTGAATGATGCTATAAATATCCAGATGGCCCTTGGCAGAAAAAAAGGTTCCCCTCCCCTGTGGCCAAAGGGTGGTTCTGAAAATTCAAGGTAAGAGCTTCAGACGTTGTCTGGCAGCCTTTGGGGCTGGGGACAAGGGGAGGAGGAGGGGATGTATTTGTCACCACACACCCACTGGTATTTTTTGCATTTTGTCCCATGTGCATATGAGACTTGTTTCCTTCGCAAATTAAGTAGACCAACCAATGGAGTATCATTCAACCATAGAAAGGAACCAACACACTACAGCCTGGAGAAGCCTGGACGATGGGAAGCTGAGTGAGAGAAGCCAGACGCAGAAATCCACGTGTTGTGTGATTCCATTTCCAGGAAATGACCAGAAGAGGCAAATGCATGTGGACTGAAGGCAGAATAGTGGGGCCTGGGGCAGGGCGGGGCAGGGTCCCCAGGTTAGGGAGTGACAGTCAAACAGTATTTACTGGGGACCTTTCTTCTGAAGCGATGGAAATGTTCTAATTCGACTGTGGTGATGGTTGCACATGTCCACCTGTGAATATACTAACAGCCATAGAATTGTACACCTGAAGCGGTGAATTCTATGCTCTATGAATTATGTTCCAATTATGCTGTTTTGAAGACATTCCTAGGTAATTAATTGCAAAGAGGAACAATACCTGTGCCCACGAGGAGCCTCGGAATTGTCCGTGGGTGTGCACCAATTTACTGCCTTTTTGTTGGCAGCTTAACAAACATCTCCCCACTTCTGAGTGATGGGAGCCAGCAGTCAGTGTACAAGCCTGGTCGTCTGCACCCCTTGCCTTTGCCTCCGGAGGCTGGGGGGAAGGGTCCGATTGGCAGGGAGGCCTCCCTCCTTGGGAACGAGAGGATGCCTGCTCCCTGCTTGAGTGTCCTCCGGCAACGCCCAGCCCGGGCTGGTCCGGAGTTGAGGCTGGTTGTGTTGTGTTGCTTGCAGGCCTCTCAGTCTCACTGGACTTACAGAGGGGTCCCTGAGGGATCCTTTCCTTTCTGAGCAAAAGCCTGCTCGGATGCCTTTGGCTTACAAGGAGGCAGACAGTGGCCCAGAGGCCCTCCTTTGTCTTTGTAGCCTGGGTGGTGCACCGAGCAGCGTCCAGACAGCAGCCCCTTGCTCCTGCCTCTGCTGGTAGACTTCCTTAGCGGTCCCGCCCTAGGCAGAAGCAGGGGTGTTCCCATCTGCAGGCTCCCCCTACCCGATCTCTTTTTACTGCCTTTGTGTATCATTTACTCACTCCAGTCACCTGGCCTCTTTGCTGTTTCTCTAGCCCATCAGCCTCACCCTGCCTCAGGGCCTTGGCACTGGCTATGACCACCCCGCAGAACCTGTATAGCCTCTTCCTTCACCTCCTCCATGTCTTTGCTCAAATGTTACCTTCCTGGGAAGGCCTTCAGGACCACCCCTCTTACAACACTCCCCCCACTGCCCTACTTTATTTCCTCCATCATAATTATTACCGTGTAAACTGCTAGATATCTACTTATTATTTGGTGTGCTGTCTGCTTTCTGCCGGTAAAAGTTGAGTCCCATGAAGGCCGATGGCTGTGTACCCCAGAACCTAAATAACATCGGGTTCACCGCAGATGCTAAACGCAGAGCTGTGAGGGAGGGAGGGAGTCAGTGGGGCATCCCACCGACGTCACTAGGAACTCAGAGGGGCAGGTTTCTCCCTACCCTTTTATACAGCACAGGAATCGAGCAAACGTGAATTCTGAACACAGGGCTCCCAAGCAGGACATGCTGATGAGAGTCCCTGGTGGGAGCAGCGCAGAAATCTGGGAATGCAGTGGTTGAGAACAGCTATCCAGGTCCATCAATCCCGCCTGTTCCCTGTGAGATGGAAAATTCTGGCGCAAGAGTCGGGGAACAGGCTCAATGCAGGGCACCCTCCTGAGCGTATGTCATTACCACGGCTCTTAAGGTAGGGACGGCTGCTTGAAAGAGCAGTTCAGCTGTCCTAAAGGGGCAGCCACAGTGGAAAACAGTGCGACGGTTCCTCAAGAAACTAAACATAGAATTCCCATAGGATCTAGCATTTCCACTCCTGGGCAGATATGCAAAATAATTGAAAGCCGGGTCTTAAAGAGATATTGATATATTCATGTTTACAGCAGCATTACTCACAATAGCCAAGGGGTGAAAGGTATCCAAGTGTCCACTGAGGGATCAATGGATAAACACAGTGATATATTAATTAGTCAGCCTTAAAAAGGGAGGAAATTCTGACACATGCTACTGTATGGATGAACCTTGAGGACATTATGCTGAGTGAGATAAGCCAGTGGCAAAAGGACAAATAGTGCATGATTATTCCACTCATCTGATGTCCCTAGAGGAGTCAGGTCATAGGGACAGAAAGCGGGAGGGTGGGTGCCAGGGACTGGGGGTGGGGGATGGGTGGGAAGTTAGTGTTTAATGGGGACAGAGCTCCAGTTTGGGAAGATGACAAAGTCCTGGAGATGGATGGTGGTGATGGTCACACAAGCAGTGTGGATGTACTTGATGCCACAGAACTGGAAAACAGTTAAAATAATAAATTTTGTTATGCATGTTATGTTACCACCGTTTTTAAAAGTGTAAGTTTTTCACAGCCTAGGCATATGAAAAGAAATAACTTTAAAAGAAAAAATAGAAGCATTTGGTAAGGATCCATGCTCTGCCGCAAGGGTCATATTTTTTTATTACTACTTCCAAATGCGACAACTGTGGCCTCACAGCCTTTATCTCGGGAACACACTTCCCTTCTAGCCACGTGGAAGCCACAGCTCCGAGATAAAGATGGAGCACCGTCCCCTTCCTTCCAGAGCCTCTGCTCCTCCACCCCAGCACTGATGCAGCCTGTGGTCTCTGTCTCTCAGGATGCACGGGTGGCCATGGGCCCCTTTGAGCCTTCCTGCCTGCTGCCCACCTGCCGGGATTACTGGACCTACCCGGGCTCCCTCACCACTCCTCCACTAACCGAGTCTGTCACCTGGATCATCCAGAAGAAGCCCATCGAAGTGGCTGCGAGCCAGGTGAGCTGCACCTGTAGCTGGCGTAGTGGGACCGTATCGAAGGAATTGTTTGGCAGTGTCACTAAGATATTGTAAGCGAGCATCGTGGGGTTTTATCTTCTGGTGCATTTTGGATGTTCCCGCCTCAGGAGAATTTTCCAATTGAAATACAAGCTCGTTGAGATTGAACAGAGAGATTCCTGAAATCACAATTCTTTGACCTTGAGATATTAGTGTGTGAGAGAGGCAGAGACAGAGAGAGTAGGGGGTTGCTGGGAAGGGAGGAAGAAGAGAGCATCTTAGTTTGTTCCACTTCTTTGGATGATAAAACATTAAGTTACAGAATTATATATGCTGAGAAAATTCCAGAAGGATTGCATCAGTCAGCTATTGGTACAATAATGCGGAGTAACCACGCAAAACTCAATGGCTTATAACAAGCATTTGCTTTTTCTACTTGTGGGTCTGCGGGTTGGCTGGGGAGGCTGTATTTTAGGTTGCGGATGGCTGAACTTCACAGAAGGTGGTTGGTGGTTGGGTCGGGCCCAGTGTCTCTCATGCTCCTTGGATCAATGACTACCAAGGGCTGGTTCTCTTGGTAAATGACAAAAAATGCAAAAGGCAAGCCAAACCGCAAATGCACGCTTAAGGCATCTGCTTTCATCACACCCATTCACACCCTGTTGGCCAAAGCAAGTCACAATGGCAAGGCCAGAGTCAGTAGGGGCGGAGAGGTGGTGAGTGGATATTTACTGAACAATACTCTGATTTGTCACATAGATACATACCAAAACGTTACTACTCATTGTCCCAGGGTCATAAATCTGCAGTGGTTTTTATGCTCTTCCTTTTTCTTGTCTAAATATCCTATTTTTGTAAAATAAGTAGATATTTTTGTAAAATAAGTAGATATAATATATCTACTTATTTTGTAGTATCTTTTTCTCTGGAAATCTCACGAATTGGGAGAAAGTCCACCTGTCTAAGGCAGTTTAGATTTAGGGATGACAACTATGCAGCAAGCATGGTGTCACTGTCCCACCCCTGCCCAGGGCAGACATTTCTGATCAGTCATAGCATTATTTATCACCTCTGGCTCAGCTATACTTTTTCTGAGGGCTCTAGATGCACTCTTCGAGGTTCTTCCAGCCTCTTGAGCCTGTGAAAATATTCTTTAAAAGTCATGGAATGATGCCCTTTGCTTTGGGAGTCTGAACTTTGATGAGATGTGGGCTGCAGATTACTTATCCTACCCCCAAACCAGAACTGTTGCAGACATCAGAAAGGCCTTGGCAGAAGAATGATCCTTGTCCCCAAGACCCCTCTGTCACTCACAAACATGTGATAAACACCCATTCTGTGTCGTGTTTGTAGCAGGAGAGGGTGGGAGAAGGGTAGAAAGGGAGAGGGTGATACAAAAACAACGATGTCAGTCTCTGGAAACTACTGGCTGATGGGAAATGAAAACATAGGTGGATATTTTTAAGGAAAAGTGGTGAGTATTATACAAAAATACAGAGCAGGAGCCCCTTACCCTGACCAGGGGGACTGGGGAGGTGATGTGTGAACCCCCTGGACAGTGGGAAGGAGAATGCCGAGTGGTGGAGAGAAAGGCTCCATTTCTGAGAAAGTAAAAAACATGTGCAAAGCAAGAGCAGGGAGCTTGAGCGTCTGGGAGACTATGTGCACCATGCAGATCTAACTTAATAAGTGGTCACTATGTAGATAAGATGTCTCATCTGTTAATTAAACATGCGAGTTATTTTCACAGAGTTCATAATTACATTCTGAGAACAAATGAGATGACACATAAATAACCTTTTAGTCCCTCGAGTGAAAAGTAAATCAAATGTTACTTTAGCATTTATATTGTATGTGTTAGATCTCTACTGCTGTGTAACAAACAGCTCCAAAACTTAGTGGTTTAAAAAAATAATAATCACTTATTAAGTCTCAGAGTTGCTGTGGGTCAGAATGTGGGGTGCTTCTGGCCTGGGATCTCTCAGGGAGTTGCAGTCAGATGTCAGCTGGGGCTGTAGTTTTCTGAAAGCTCGCCTCAGGCTGGAGGATCCATTCCCAAAGTGGCTCACACCGGTGGGGCCTCCTCCCGCGGCTGCAAGTTGGTGTTGGCTGAGGGCTCAGTTCCTCTCCACGTGGGCCTCTCCATGGGGCCGATTGAGTCCTCGCAACATGACAGCTGGCTTCCCCAGAGCAAATAATCCAAGAGGCCATGGTGACCGCTGCAAAGCCTTTCCTGACATAACTCAGGCGTCACCTCAGCCATATTGGCCATCCCTGATTCAATGTGGGAGGGGACTGCACAAGGCACCAGGGGCACCTGGGAGCTGCTGCCCCCTGTCCCTGCCCCCAGGTAACTCTGATAGCTCTCTATTCCAGCTGGCCGCCTTTCGCAGGCTCCTGTTTACCGCCCTCGGTGAGGAAGAGAAGGCCATGATGAACAATTACCGCCCGCTTCAACCCCTGATGAACCGGGAGATCCGTTCATCCTTCCAGGCCGCCGAAGGGGACACCAGATCCTAAATGCATTACGTCCACAGCAATGGGCAGAACTGACTTTAAGAAGAGGAAGTATTGTTTCCCAAGTTTCGTGGTCTGATCATATGTAACCTCTGAAATTAAAGAGAGAGACAGAGATCATTGTTTCGGTCCACGTGCTTTTCAGCTGCAAAATGGAATCACTTAGGAGAAAGTTGAGTATGATAGGGAATGGATATCATGGGACTCTCAGAAGTGCATGGCAGCCTCAGGGGCTGAGTAAGCCCCGGGTGGCTGAGGTCATCTGCCCAGCCTTCTCTCACTTCCATGCTTTCGTCTCTCCAAGTGGGTGTCCTGTTTCTCCACACTCACGGCCCCCCCACAGTTCCCAAGCAACAGAGCCTGGCTGTATCCATGTCCTGGGGTTGCTATAACAAATGACCCCAGACTGAGGGAGTTACACAACAGAAATGTATTTTCCCAGTTCTGAGACTGGAAGTTGGAGATCGAGGTGCCAAACCACGGGGTTCTGGTGAGACCTCTCTCCTTGGCTTGCAGGTGGCGCCTTCTCCCTGTGGCCTCCCTTGGCTTTTCCTTGACGCATGCACACAGAGACTGAGCTCTCTCCCTTCCTCTTTTTATAAAGCCACCAATCCTATCGAATTATGACCCCACCCTTCTAAAAGTCCCATCCCCAAATACAGACAGATTGGAGGTGAAGGCTTAGACATCTGAATTGGGGCGGGGGACATAATTTAGCCCAACCACACACTGTGGGCTTAAAACAACAGAAATGTGTTGTCTCCCAGTTCTGGAGGCTAGAAGTCCAAATTTAAGGTGTCGGCAGGGCTGGTTCCTTCTGGAAGCTCTAGGGGAGAACCCATTTCCTTGCTGTTTTCCAGCTTCTAGAGGCACCTGCTTTCCTCGGCATGTGGCTCCCCTTCTTCCATCTTCAGAGCCAAAGACTTGTCCAAAGCAGCTGCTCAGGACACGCCACCATTCTGGAGGGTGTGTAGTGTTTCTCTCTGTTTGTTGTTTTATTTCAATTGTGGTGAAATACACATAACATAAAATGATCATCTTAACCATTTTTAAGTGTACAGTTCAGTGGTCTTAAATATATCCATAATGTGCAGTTATCACTGCCATCCATCACCATAGCTCTCTTCATCATGTGAAACCGAAGCCCTGTCCCCATTAGACAATGACTCTCCATCTTCCCCTCCCCCAGCCCTCGGCACCCACCATTCTGCTTCCAGTCTCCGGATTCTGAATGCTCTTCGAGTCAACACGAGTGGAATGACAGTCTTTGTCCTTCTGTGACTGCCGTATTTCACTCAGCATATGTCCACAAGGTTCATCTATGTTGTAGACTGTGTCAGATGTCCTTCCTTGTCCTTTCTCAAGGCTGAATAGCATCCTAACTGATAAAAGTACTATTATTTTTGGAGCATTTAAAAGAGTCCCCTCTGGTAGAGATGCAGCTCTATACACAATAACCATGGTATCTTCCAACATTATCTTACCATCAGATAAACGTGAAAAGCAGCGCCGAAAAATAAGCCAATGCTAGTCTGCCTACCAAGGGCCAGGGATAAACTCCATCTCACTTTGGGGACAGAAAGAATAAATATACTGTCGGCCAGGAGTGGCTCAGGGGTTGAGCATGGACCTAGCATCCAGGAGATCGAGGTTCACTTCCCCGCAGGGCGCATGCCCGGATTGTGGGCTCAGTCCCTAGGTAGGGGCGTGCAGGAGGCAGCCGATCAATGACTCATCATTGATGTTTCTCTCTCTCTCCCTCTCCCTTACTCTCTCTGAAATCAATAAAGACACATTAAAAAAAAAAAAAAAGAATAAATATACTCATTGTAGTCCACAAATAACATCTAAAATCGAAGAGAGCCTGTATTATGAATGTGGTTTACTTAGGCACAGATTTATATTTCCCCCCCAATCACAGAACTTGTTATAGTTCCAACAATTTACAGTCTGGCTTTAAGCTCTTCGATGTTCTGACACCTACTACAGAGAAATCCTCAACTTCCTCATACGCATGCTTTCCTGGAAAAGTGGAGCTGTTCACCAGAGCCCTTCGTATTACAGTGCTCTGTTCAGATGCAACACAACAGGCTTTGATGTTGGTTTACAAAGGCCCCAGAGTCAGTTTTGTTTCACCACAAAAGAAAAAAGTTTGGGTGAGTTTAGCGATGGGTCGAGGCATGGATGTTCCAGTTGGGTGCGGGGCTCTGGATGGGCAGACAGCTTCAATCTCCAGAGATGTATGGTGTCCAGGAGGGAAGGAGATATTTTTAAGTTTGGTTTGGACCCCCAAATATTTCTTGTCTTTTGAGAAAATCTAGCCATTCTTGAGTCTCTAGTGAAGTGGGTTTTAGCCCATAAGGAGAGTTCCCTATGGCTGTTGTAACAAGTGACCACAGCTTGGTGACCTCCTGCCTCCCTCTTATAAGGACGCTGAGATGACATTGGACCCACCGGATATCCAGGATAATCTATCATCTCAAAATCCTTAACTTAATCACCCCTGCAAAGTCCCTTTGCCATGTAAGGTCATTCACAGGTCTCAGGGATCAGGATGGGAACACCTTGGGCCATTGCTCAGTGGACTGTATATGCAAAGTCGGCCTGTGGCATCTTCAGCCAAGCAGCAGCAGCAGCCTGAGGCTGGCCTCTTCTGGCCGCAGGGGGCGGGCTGGGAAAGGCGCGATGGAGCGGGCGAGCGTGCGTGTGGGTGTTGGACGTGTTCCTGAGCTGTGCTGTCCTGCAGCACCTCCTGCGGCGGTGCCCCGTATGATCCAGAGCGGCACTGTCCTATCTACGGCAGCCCTTGGGCACACGTGGCCATGGAGCACTTGAAATGTGGCCAGTGTGATTGAGAGGCTGAATTTTAATTGTACGTAATTTTAATTAGTTAAAACTTAAATGCCACACGTGGCCAGCCAGTGGCTACCTTGTGGGACCACACAGCTCTCTATCTTAACCTGGGCTTTCGTTACGTGGGTTTGTATGTATGTAAAACACCACCGAGGTGAACACTCAATATTCATGTACTTTCCGCCACTTCATAAGGTGTATATTATACTTCAATTAAAGAAATACTTTGCCTGCCGGCCAGGGGGCTCAGTGGTTCAACATTAACCCATGAATCAAGAGGTCTCCAGTTCGATTCCTGGTGAGGGCACATGCCCGGGGTAGCAGGCTCGATCCCCAGCAGAGGGTGGTGCAGGAGGCAGCTGATCCATGATTCTCTCTCATCATTGATGTTTCTATCTCTCTCCTTCTCCCTTTCCCTCTCTCTAAAATAAATAAAAACATATTTTAAAAAAAGAAAGAAATACTTTGCTTAACCACCTGAGAGCTCAGGTTTCTGAGTTTCTGCGGACGGGATATGAGGCCGCCTGGGATATTGGTTCAGGCACTTCTGGGAATAAGTGAAGCAGGCAGGACATTGGAAGCACAGGGTACACTGACGGGGGTGCAGGCTGCAGAGTCAGGGATGTCGCCGGAGTCTCTTAGCGGAGTCGCCTAGCGGAGGCCAAGCGGACAGGCCCTCGCCTTGCCTCGTTCCTGAGCTACCCACTAAGTGCATCATGCAACATGCTGTCCCCAGGTAACTGGCGCCACCAAGAGACGTTGGCTCTTTTTCCTGAAGCAGACACAGGTAATTCATGCTCAACAAACATGGCTTCAGATAAAACATGTTTGGCTCTTAAAAGGATTGAGTTCGGTGGTGATGCTGGGTGCAAGAGGACTGGCCCAAAGGGGTCAAAACCGGCGTCGAGAAAGGAACCCGATCAAAACAGACACGCTTTTGTTCAGCTTCTAAGCCGATGCCCCTCCTTACTTACAATCTGTAATTAAGAGTTTACCCGACAGCAGGGTGTGCCACTACCAATAAAAGTTTGCACAGCAAGGCTGAGTGTTTTCACGCATATCCAGCCATCCTCAGCCCCACTGTGTGTCCGAACCACAGGGGCCCAGCCCTGACCCCTGAGCTTGTGCTACCCTGGGTCTGAGGAATGATTTTTACAAAGTTCCCCAAGTGAATGGATTATGTGGCCAAGGATGAGACCACAGCATTCCCAGTTAGTTGTTATAACAAGTTCTACCAAAATTCTATGAAACTGTCCTCACGGGGAAACTGAGAGGATCATTTGAGGGGTTGAGGCTCTTGCGGTCTCTGGATTATGGGCAGCTCTCCGGGTCCTGGGCAGCGTTTTGCCTTTGCCCTCTCTGATGTGATCAATTAAATGAAAGAAGAGAGAGACATAGCCTTAAAGCAGAAAACACAAAGTCCTGAACTTTACAGTTTAGTGAGAAATCGTATTCTACAATAACCTGCAGATGCGTTTCCAAACTCCACTCAAAAGAGGCACCTGCTCAGACCTCCTGAGGCTTGTGAGCGCGGCATCCTCAGGTATGGAAGGAATGACGGTATTGGGGGGTGGGGTCTTTGAGTTGGAGCGTGCAGAGAGCAGCCACGTGTCAGTTCTCTGTGGGCCATTTCCATGGGGACTTTGGGACAGAGCAAAGCCCATTGTCAAGAGGAGCCTTGCAGGGGGAGAAAGGACCACAGTGTCTTGAACTCAGCTCCACCCGCCACATGGTGATCACACGTCCCAACAAGAATGCCAAGAACAGGTGGGGTACTTTTCCCCATATTTCCCGTGTTGATATAGGTCCTTCCTCTGAACACACAAACATCTTTGTCTCCTGGTGTACATTCTCTGTTGTCAGTTATTTTTAACAAACTGGCCTTAACCCTGAGACAGACTTTCATGGTAAGCACACCGAGCCTGACGGACACACTGCAATAAAACCATAAACACACCGAGAAGAAAGACGTTGACCTCAGTTCTCAAAGCAACAGCACAGATAAAACAAACACACTTCCACTCTCCGTCCCAAGTGGCGGCAGGTGCAAAAAGCAAGGCCTGTGGCTTTGCTGGGTGGTGCTCACTGTGATACCATTGTGGTTTAGAACTGTATTGTAGAATTCCTGGCCCAGCTTTTAAAGCCCAAGGCATCCTCTCTTTGCTTTTATGTTATTTTCTCATTTTGTAAAAAATACAAAGGTGTGAGAAGCTTGCAGCTTCATGGCAAACTGCTGTCCCTCCCTTCCTCCCCTGCCCTCAAAG